TGAGAGGTGAAGAGTGACTAAGAATGACAGAAGGATTGATTCCTTTGAACTGTAGTGTTGGGGAAGAATACTGAAGATCCCATGGATTGTCAAAAGAACAATGAGATATATCTTGAAAAAGGTACAGCCAAGAGTGTCCCTTGGAGGCAAGGATGATGAAGCTTTGTCTCATATACATTAGGAATGCTTGATATGTGCCAACAAATCACCTGCAACGCATAGTGACCCTATGTACATAGCTCTGGACCCTGCCCTATCCTGAACCAATTTCACTGTCTTCGACACACCTACCCTTATTACTCTAGTTACTGTGTCAATCCATCTATCTCATGCAGGGTCTTCCTCTTCTTCCTCTTCTGTGCTGTCCCTCCACCCTTAAAAACACAATGTCCCTCTCCAAGGACTGACTCCTCCTGGCAACATAACCAAATTGTGTGAGATGGAGCTTCAAAATCCTTGCCTCCAAGGACCAGCTTGGTTTACCCTCTTTCAGGACAGACTTGTTTGTTCTTTTGGCAGTCCATGGTATGTTCAATACTTTTTCACAGCACCACAACTCAAAGCCATCGATTCTTCTTCTATCATCCTTAGTCATTATCCAACTCGCTAATACATAATAAGTAATTGCGAAGACCATGGCCTGAATCAGGTGCACCTTAGTTTCTAAATTGACATCATTGTTCTTCAGTCCTCCGGAGAGGTCCCTGGCAGCAGATTTCCCCAGTGTAATTCATCTTTTGATTTCCTGACTGCTGGTGCCAAGAATGTTGATTATAGAACCAAATAAGCTGATTTTTTTTTTTAGCATTCTCAATCTGTTCTCTATCATGATGCTGTCAATTGGCCCATCGGTGAGAATCTTTGTTTTCTTGATGTTAGGCTTGAATCCATATTGAAAGTTGCAGTCCTTGATCTTCTGCAGCAAATGCCTCAGGTCCTCCATAGTTTCAGCAATCAACGTTGTGTCATCTCCATAACCCAAATTGTTGAGTCTTCCTCCAATCTTGATACCGCATTCCTCCTCAGCCTCCTAAATGATCTGTTCCACATAGAGATTTAAAACATATAAAGATAGAATGAATCTCTTATGTACACCTTTCCTGATTTTGAACCATGTAGCTGGTAGGAAAGGCTATTCCTTGGAAAGTGATATCATGCTTGGGAAGGTGGAGAGATGAAAAAAAAAGGAGTAAGAACCTCAACGAGGTGCATTGACAGGGCGACTGCAGCAATAGTAGGCTTTAGTGTGTCAAAGATTGTGAGGACAGCATAGCATAGGACAATATTCAGATCAGTTGTTTTTTGGTTTATCATATTCAATTTAATGGCACTAACAATAGCAATAATAACTTTTTATAAAGACATTTCATGTGTTTGTTGTCCATAGTCAAATCAATTTTCTTTCCATTATTTATTCAATATTTTTACAGTTATAAAACACTTCCCCATTCTACCATAACTATTTCTTCCATATTTTTAAAAAATTATGCCTATGATTTTTTGTTTCTATATTTTTATAAATGGAATATTTTTAATACAGTTATCATTTTGTTATTATTAGAACTAGAAATACAATTATTTTTGTATATTTATTTTAGATTTGATCACTTTCTTGAACTATGTACGTGATTAGGTACAATAACTTTATTATTTTAAAACAATTGTAAATGATAGCAGTAAAAATACATTATTGTTGTTGTTGACTGCCTTCCAGTCGAGCACGACTCATAGCAACCCAATGGACAAAAGGCCTGAAGCTCCTCTACAACCATCGACATTTATCAAAGTTCATAGAGTTTCCGGAGGCATGTTATTTAGGAAGTGGATGCCACTCCTGCTTCCAAACCTGTCATAGTAAGTTCTTGTTTTTATGTGCCATTGAGTCACCTGCAATGTATCGCAACCCTATATACAACAGCTCTGAACCCGTCCTTGTCCTGAGCCAGTCTCATCAATTTTGACACACCAACCACCATTGCCCCAGTTACTGTATCAATCCATTTCATCTGGGGTCTTCCACTCCTGCACTGTCTATCCATCCTTCTTCAAGGACTGATCTCTCCTGGCCACATGCCCAAAGTAAGTGAGGAAGAGCTTCAAAATACTAGCTTCCAAGGAGAGACTTGGTTTCACCCTTTCCAAGACAGACCTATTTATTTTCTTGGCAGTCCATGGCATATTCAAGACTCTTCTCCAGCACTACAACTTGAAGACATCTATTTTTCTTCTGTCATCCTTAGTCATTGTCCAACTCTCTGAAGCATAACAAGTAATTGAGAAGACCATGGCCTGGATTAAGCGTACCTTTGTACGTAGACTGACATTGTTGCTCTTCAGAACTCTGGAGGGGTCCATGGCAGCAGATTCTCCCAATGCACCTATCTTTTGATTTCCTGACTGCTGGTGTTATATTGAGAGTGTTGACTGTGGATCTGAGAAAGCTGTAATTGCTAACAACCTCAATCTCTTTATTTTGCCACTCAAATACTGCTATATAATATGATGTTGGTTCTATGTTCAAGACAAAACTTTTGTTATATAAATGAACTATCCCTCTGTTCCGAAATTACTATGAATATTTTAGAAAAAAGTTTGCCTAATATAAAAGAAATATTTTTCAGGTCTATAGAGATACTTAGGGAATTCTCATGGCATAGTCCTTAGCGAGATATGTTGCTATTCCAAAGGCTGCACATCTCTGTTGATTCAAATCTACCAGGAACTCACGTGTGTGTGTGTGTGTGTGTGTGTGTGTGTGTGTGTGCATGCATGCATGTGCACATGTATACAATGTTTGTGTTTGAATAATACTAGTGTCAGAATCTGTCTCCTTTGTTGTTGTTGTTGTACACCATTGAGTTGGAACCAACTTGTAGCTGACCTTCCAGTGGGTGTTCAGAGGCTGCAAATAGCATGGAGGAAATTATTCATCTTTCTCTCACACAGCAACTGGTGGTCTCAAACCACCTGCCTTTGTGTTGGCAGTACAACTTCTTACCACTAGGCCACCAGAGCTCCTTTGTCTACCTTAGGAGAGGGTAAATAAAAATCAGCCTTAGGCTAATACGTATAAGCTATAGGTAAGACATTATTTCCACTCTTCAAACTTTTTATTAATTCTGACACAAGCCCTCCTTACTACAGCACACTCTATTTTGCATCTGAATTTGGTAATCATTGCAATGTCCACATAGAACTTAAAGGCATATACTGAAGTAATTCAATAAGGAAGTAGAAAGGCACTGTTAGTAATTAGAATTAAAAGACTACTAAAGGAACTCATAACAACAACAACAACTGAGCTCTGGTTGGACGAGTGGCAAGAACCTGACTTGTTGTTATATACAACAACAACAACAATCAGAGTTAGGGAGTTCTGGTGGCCTAATGGTAAGAAGCTGTTCTACAATCCCAAAAGCATGCAGTTCAAAGACACCAGGTGCTCTACAGGAGAAAGTTGAGCAATCTTCCCATGCGATTAATTGCCTCTGAAAACCCACTGGAGAGTCAACTATGATTTGATGGTAATCAACAACAACTAAACAATCAGAATTAGGATCAGCATCAGGATTGGGAAACATTTACAAGCTCCCCCTTCTTCAGTGCAAGACAACTCTTTTCAGTTCTTCTTACCCTATAATTCTCCTCTCAGCACCCTCAGAACAGGCTCCTCTTGGTCCTTTCAGGCCAAGACTCCTCTCTACACTCTGACAACAGGCTTTCTGTGCACACCTGGAAAGCTTCTCTTGGTTTCCTCAGGATAAGCTTTTCTTTTTCCTGCTATCTGTCACTACTGACTGTGATACAGGACCCCTTCCAGGTTTATTGTTGTCCTCAGAGTAATAGTCATCAATCTGTGTTATAGCTCTTATAGGTGTTTCTTTGCCTCCATTCTTTCTTCATCTCCCTTCTTCCTGCCTTATATTTATTCCACTGATTCTTTTCATGCTTCTTTCAGTCTTTCCAATCTCTGTGAGATTGATGGTCTATATACATAACTTCTTGTTGATTTCAAGGCCTGGTGTCTCCCAGCAATAACTAATCAATCCCCAATTGTAAGAGAGAAATCTTCACTTTTGTGGTAGGCTTTAGTCACTATATTTGCACAGTCTATAGGCAAATTCATGACAGATGGAGAAAGGATTGAATTTGTCAATGATTTCATCTTGCTTGGATCAATAATCAAGATCCTTGGTACCAGCAATAAGGAGATCAGGATATTTTTTTGCATTGGAAAAGTTGGCTGTCAGAGATCGCTCCAAAATACTTAAGAGCAATAATGTTAAAGCTGAAAACTAAAGTGTGCCTGATTCAGGCCATGGACTTTTAAATCATTTGCTGGGGTGGGGGCCGGCGGTGCGACGCGGTCGGCGCGCAGCTCCGGCCGCGGGTCGCTCGGGCGCTGTCCGGGAGAAGCCGGCCCAGTCCGGGCTGCAGCCA